TTTGAGTTGGGATTTAAATAGTAAAAATTTCGAATTTGAATAGTTGTATGATGTGATATAAATAGGTGTTGATGTGATATTTTGAATGTAAAATTAATTTTTAGTATAATATCAAAAATAAAAAATAGGTGCTTGATTTGATATTTTTTTGGACGAATAGTGTATTTAAAATCCAATCCTCCAAACGAAAAATCTGAGCATATGACATGTTTTGATATAAATATGTATTTAAAATAAATATTGAATATATATATAATATATTTGTAATATAATACGTAAAGCAAAAAATAGGTAATTATACGAAGGTTCTTGAAGAAAAATAAATAGCAATTGATCATACATAAATTTTACATGATTTTTCGCTTCCATATTTCTTTATAGATTAAGAAATAATTGTAGTTTATTGGTAAACGAACAATGTAAAAATATTTTGACAAATTTATTGTTTATACTTTGTGTAAAATAACTAACATATGTAAACTAATGTATAGTAACTTATGTAAAAATTTAAAGTATTTTAGAATTATAATATAAACACTTTGGTTTGTTTTTTTTATTATTTTAAATAAAAATTAACAAATTCATTTCACACGGTTTTCAATAAAAATATAATATTATTTTTTTCACAAAATATTATATCAAAATATTATTTAAATAAAAACTTAAATCAATACCTCATTGTAAATCAATTTCAAACCACAATCAAAATAAACCTTTTATAATAAATAATATATATTTGGATGAAAGAATAAAAAATAACAAAATAGGAATATATACTTTTGAATAGAACATAAAATATAAAATAATATATTAAACAACTATTTCACTTAAAAATATATTATTTTTGAAACAAACTATCGCATATAACCATGATTTAAATATTAAAAAATATAATAATAGAGAATAAAAATTATGTTGTAATTTATTTGATTGTTTTGATTGATACATGGATAATATTTTCACTTTTTTTACATCTGTTATAAAAATTTTGTTTGTGCATTATTCATAAAAATTATTATTTAAAAATATAACATCAAATATATTTTTTATTCGAAATATTATATAAAAATTATATATTTAATAACTAAGTATCAGATACAATAATATATATTTAAATTTAGTGAAATACTTATCTTTTTATTTAATACTCTTTTCATCCGAGTTAACTATAGCACTTTGTTTAGACATGGATATTAAAAAAATAATAATATTTTAATATAAAAATTGAGATAAAATAAAGTGGTGTATAACAAAAAAAAATATTAAATAATTGGTAAAAATTGCAGTAAGATAAGTGGGAAAAAAATAATAACAAATTGATTAATATTAGTTAACATAATAGTAATAAAATTATGAGTAGATAAAGTTATTTAGTATAGATAATAATATAAATATAACTATAGCAAGGGAGAGAATATTCTCTAAACTCTCTAAAACATATGTGTTTGTTTACAGGTTTTGAATTTATATTTTGAAATGAAATAGTTAATTTGATATAATATAAATATTTATTAATATGATATTTTAACTTAAACAAAAAAAAAATACATAATTAAGTGGTTGTTATCTTTGTACTTCATTTCATTTTAACCATGCAACTCTTATATTTCTAATAAATATGTGCTATAAAAAATATATATATAAGTGTTGGATATGGTTCCAAAAGCACCTGAATGAGAAGGAGGCTTAAAACAAAAGTGGATTGTGGTGCTTCTACAGGGCCGAAAGCAGTAGCCTCCATTGACCTCCATCTCGGAACAATATTTCCATAAAGTCAGAAAGTGTTGTCTACATTGAGTTGAAAACAACTATCTTCATTGGACTGCGGTGCTTCCATAGAGCAGAGGAAGGTTGCCTCCACAAGATAGAAAACAACAGCTTCCACAGATCATGGGATAACTACCTCCGTTGACCCTGGGTTATCAATTTCGTACTTAACATTAGTGGAGGGCCTATGCACTTCATACTTTATTCAAAAAGCTCCATGGAACAAACCAACAAGAGGAAAACAAAAGATTTTATTTCACTCGAGGTTGTTGGGGATACATCCCCGTGGATCGGCTAGGAGTACGATGGAAACAAGTCGGAGTAAGCGGCAGATCTGGTCCAGAGGCAATGGAAGAAGTTCAGAACAAGTGGAACCCGGTCCAGAGGCAATGGAAGTGGTTGAGAGTTGATGGAAGGAGGTTACCAGGTGGTTAGGAGCTGATGGAAGGAGGTTACCAGGGAACTGATGGAAGGAGGTTACCAGGCAATTGGAGGTAGTAGTGGGAGCTTACCGGGTGGTTGAGAGTGATGGAGGAATAATTGGAACTGCCCATTTTAGTGGGAAGAGATGGTTATTCTATCTTAGGATTAACGTAGGAAAAAACACATCACACACGCACAAGAAGATGAACTCATATTTTTCTCTATTTTTTTTTAATTCGAATTAAATTCTTTTTTTATTTGCTTTCAAGTAGATTTATCCGAGTTTTAGTAGATGTTAGTTTAAACCCATCGAAATCGATCGTTTAGGCTCGAAGCCGTGCAGGCTCCATCGAATGAGCCACCCAAAATCCGATGACGGACAGGCTCTTTGAAGTACTTTCGGAACCCACACCGACAAATCGACGAATGGTCTTGGAAACTCCAAATTTTAGGATCCAACAATTCGCACGCCCAGTGGGACCAAAGTCGGATTTTTCGAAGAGTGATGTCGAGGTTTACATGGGGTTCATTTATACTGCCTGAAAAAAGCTATGGAATTGTTTCAGAACATCCAATGCTTCAGGCCTTAGGGTCGGAGCATGCAAGATTAGGTTGGAACCAACAGCCTACAGGAAGTTGGAAGCAACAGCCTGCGGAGGGCTGGTACCACCACTCTGCGGAAGGCTGGTTCCAACAACCTGCGGATGGCTGGAGCCAACAACCTGTGGAAGGCTGGCAACATCCTGCGGAGGGCTGGAACCACCAGCCTGTGGAAGGCTAGAACCAACAGCCTGCAAATGGCTGGAACCAACAGTCTGTGGAAGGCTGGCAACAGCCTGCGGAGCGCTGGAGCCAACAGGCTGCGGAGGGCTGGAACCCCTTAGCCGTTGGAGTTTTGAATAGCAGTGCTAAGCCTCCACGAGGGGCTAGCAAACTTGCAGCATTTGGCATGATCTCGCCAGGGCGATTAAGCGGACAACCTATGTGGAATACGCCAACACCACCATGGGGATGCACGGTCCGAACGTGGCTAATCTCCAATGGAAGAGGATCATCGAAATACAGGGGCAAGGAGGGCAGGCCGCAGAAATACAACCGCCAACCTTCCATTAGCAGGCAGCCGGAGGGCAGCCGCTGACACCAAATCAACAGGAGGCCAAGCCTCTAATGGACGTTGATGTCATCGCAGATTGCATAAGGAGAGAAATTTAAAAAAGAAGGTTTGAAAAGAAGCCTATTGCCACTTTGAGCGCGGAAAATTTACCTCCATACAAAAAAGAGGCTGTGGAGGCTCCAGTTGAAAAGGAGTCTGCGGAGGCAGAGGTTCTAGAAGCCATGGAAGCTCTAGAGCTTGTGAAAGCAGAGATTCCAGAGGTTGTGGAGACTCCAATTGAAAAGGAGTCTGCGGAGGCAGAGGTTCCAGAAGCCATGGAAACTCCAAAGGCTGTGGAGGCTCCAGTTGAAAAGGAGTCTACGGAGGCGGAGGTTCTAGAAGCCATGGAAGCTCCAGAGCTTATGGAGGCAGAGACTCCAAAGGCAGCGGAGGCTCCAGTTGCAAAGGAGTCTGCGGAGGCAGAGGTTCCAGAAGCCATGGAAGCTTCAGAGCTTGTGGAGGTAGAGACTTCAGAGGCTGTGGAGGCTCCAGTCAGAAAGAAGTCTGCAGAGGCAGAGGTTTCAGAAGCCATGGAAGCTCCAAAATTTACGGAGGCAGAGACTCTAAGGACCGTGGAGACGCTTAACGAAAAGGAGGAAGTACGGGCAGAGGCCCCATATGAAAAGGACTCTACAGGGACACATAGGCTCCAGAGACCATGGAGGCTCCATACAAAAAGGAGGTTGTAGGGGAAGAGACTCCAGAGGCTATGGAGGTTCCATACGAAAAGGAGCCTGCAGGGGTAGCAGCCCTAGCGACTTCAGACAAAAAGGACTTTACGGAGGCAGAAGCTTTAGCCACAAAATTAGAAAATGGAAAGATTTATTTGTGCCCGGCATTGAAGCCGATCAAAGAGTTTATTCCTTTTGTTAATACTATGTCGTCTAAAAGGCTTATGAAAGACAGGCTTAGCACCCAGCCGTTGAAACCTTTGGTTCAAGACTGTTTAGGACCGAAGGCACCCGTTAAAAAAGCCGTCTTCACAAGAGTGACATTTGATAAAGTCTCAAGTTCGAACATGGGGAAAATAAGACAAAGGATGGTCAAAAGGGAGCTTAATGTCGGTGTCACCATCCCAAGTCTGAAAGCCTCAGGATTGGAGAAGAGGAAAGTATACAAAAGACCCAAGCCGGAGGCCATCGTAGCAGAAGTGAAAGTCACAAATGGGAAACGGATTTGGACTGTTACCACGGCTGACCAAATCATCATCATTCCCAAGGCGACACGGAAGCCTCCTATCATGAAAGAGAATGAAAAATGGATTGTGAATGAGCCGAAGCTTTTCACTAAGGGGAAATAAGTGGACTCACCAGGACTCAAAAGAGGGGAGCTCAAAGAAAAAAGTTGGAGGCTCGTATAGAGGAGGAAAGGTCACATGAGCTCTCTCCGAAAGAAAAACAGATGGAAGAGCTGCCTCCAAAAAAGAAGCAGGTTGTAGATCCGCTTCTAGAAAGAAAGCAAGCTGTGTAACAGCCAAGGAAGCAGGCCATGGAGCCGTTTCAAAAAAAAGAAGCAGGCTATGGAGCCGCTTCCATAAAGAAAGCAGACTGCAGAGCCGCTAAAGAAGCAGGCTATAGAGCTGCTAAAAAAGCAGGCCAGGGAGCCGCCTCAAAAAAAGAAGCAAGTTGTAGGGCCGCTTCCAGAAAGAAAGCAGGCCATGGAGCTGCCTCCAAATAAGAAGCAAGTTGTAGAGCCGCTTTCAGAAAGGAAGCAGGCCATGGAGGCGCCAACGAAGCAGGCTGTGGAGCCGCTTCCAGAAAGAAAGCAGGCCATGGAGCCACCAAGGAAGCAGGCCATGGAGCTGCCAAGGAAGCAGGCTGTGGAGCCACTTTTAGAGAGAAAGCAGGTTGTGGAGCCGCTTTTAGAGAAAAACAGGCTGTGAAGCTGCTTCAAGAAAAGAAGCAGGTTGTGGAGCCGCTTCCAGAAAGAAAGCAAGTCATAGAGCTGCCAAGGAAGCAAGTTGTGAAGCCGCTTTCAGAGAGAAGACAGGTTGTGGAGCCGCTTTCAGAAAGGAAGCAGGTTGTGGAGTCACTTTTAGAGAACAAGCAGGTTGTGGAACCGCTAAGGAACCAGGCTATGGAGTCTTTTCCTAAAAGGAAACAAGTAGAGGAGCCTCCGGAAGAAGTTTAAGAGTTAGAGGAAGTTGTCGTTGACAGAGAGCCTATCTTCGAATGGAATGATGTGTCAACGATGATAGAATTTAAGAGGCTCGGGCCTGGCCAAAACCAATATGTCAAGCCTTTGCACATTCAGGTCTCGATGAATGGCTATCCGCTTGACCAAGTTTTGGTGGACAGTGGAGCTTCTGTGAATGTGTTGTCAATTGAGACCCTACGGAAGTTCGGAAAGACTAGTGACGATATGATTTCTATATTTGTACGGCTTACCGATTTTGTGGGAAATTCTTACAAACCGGCAGGTATGATCACTTTGAATGTGTAGGTGGGGATAAAAAAAATATCATCAAATTTCATGGTGATTGATAGTAGACCATTCTATTCGGCTCTCTTGGAACGGAATTGGATTCATGCATGCTGTGTGTGCCTTCGACACTCCATTAAATATTGATATTTTGGGATGGAAATGAAGTCCAAGAAGTGAAGGCCAAAGAGGATCCCTTGTCGACAGAAGTGACCACAGTTGATTCAAGTGAACGGCTCAAAGCAAAAGGACATGGGCTCAATGGAAGCAATCGCCCAACCCTTTTGAGGAGGGCATTGTTGAACATTGGTACAAAAGCACCTGAACGTGAAGGAGGCTCAAAGATAAAAGTTGAGCCAGAGCTCATTGGCCACGGAGCCGCTCAACAACAATGGAGCTTCAAGCCTCGGACGCAAAGACTGTTGCCTCGACAGAGCCGAAGACAACAGTTTCCATTGGATTGTGGTGCTTCCACAGGGCCAAAAGCAGCAACCTCCATGGACCTTAGGGCAGCAACTCCTTGGACTATGGCGCCTCCAACCGGGAACAATATTTCCATAATGTCAGAAAGTGTTATCTCCATTAGGTTGAAAACAACTACCTCAATTGGACTGCGGTGCTTCCACAAAGCAGAGGAAGGTTGCCTCCACAAGATAGAAAGCAAAAACTTCCACGGATCATGGAATAACTACCTCCGTTGGCCCTGGGTTAATAATTTTGTACTTAACACTAGTGGAGGGTCTATGCACTTTCATACTTTATTCATAAAGCTCCATGGAACAAGCCAACAAGAGGAAAACCGAAGATTCCATTTAACTCGAGGTTGTTGGGGTTACATCCCTGTTGGACCGGCTAGGAGTACGATGGAAACAAGTCGTAGTAAACGGCAGATCTGGTCCAGAGGCAATGGAAGAAGTTCAGAGCAAGTGGGACCCGGTCCAGAGGCAATGGAAATGGTTGAGAGCTGATGGAAGGAGGTTACTAGTCGGTTAGGAGCTGATGAAAGGAGGTTACCAGATAGTTGAAGTTAGTGGAAGGAGGTTACCAGGCAGTTAGAGGTAGTAGTGGGAGGTTACCAGACAGTTGAGAGTGATGGAGGAATAATTGGAACTGCCCCTTTTAGTGGAAAGATGCGGTTATTCTATCTTAGGATTAAAGTAGGAAAAAACACATCACACACACGCACAAGAAGATGAACTTGTATTTTTCTCTATTTTCTTTTCATGTTTTAGTTTCTTTTTATGCATTTTAATTCGAATTACATGCTTTTTTTATTCGTTTTCCAGTAGATTTATCCGAGTTTTAGTAGATGTTAGTATAAACCCATCGAAATTGATCATTTAGGCTTGAAGCCTCGCTTAGACTCGAAGCCGTGCAGGCTCCACCGAAGGAGCCGCCCAAAATCCGACGACGGACAGGCTCTTTGGAGCACTTCCGGAACCCACACCGATAAATCGACGAACGATTTTAGAACCTCTGAATTTTAGGATCCAACAATAAGTATATATTAAAATATTATTTAGTTAAAATTCAAAACTCAAACGAAAAGAAAACAATATTTAGTTTTATACTTGATCTTTTTATTATTTTGGTTCAAGTGTTTTATTTGAATAGTACTTTCATTATAATTAATATTTACTAAAAGAAAATAATATATTTTTAATAATATTTACATTTTCATTAAATATTTATTTTTTTCACAAATATCTCTATTTTACTATCAAATTATTATTTTTACACTTAAAAAACACAGGCAAAAATATATTTATACTACTTTTAACTGTCCACTGTAAAATATTATTTAATAAAAATTCAAATCAACATTCCATCTCAAATAAATTTCAAATTCAATCAAACAAATTTATATTTATCTGTTGAATATGACATCATATTATTATTTCCATCTCAAATTTACAAAAATAAAAGCAACACTATAATAAAATATAGGGTAAACTGTTTTTTTAGTCCCGTAACTGGACCCCTTTATCATTTTAGTCCCGTAAGTGGAGCATGTCGCAAACTAGTCCCATAAGTGAAAAATTTTCGTTGTTTTAGTCCTCCGGCGCCAGAGACGCCCGCGTGGCTCATCGGAGGTGATGTGTCCGGCAGGTGTCCCGCCAAGTCAGCGACACCTTGTGGACACGTGGATTTTTTTTAATTTTTTTTAATTTTTTTATTTTTTTTAATTGGACCAAATAAAAAAATAAAAAAATACAAATAAAATTAAAAAAAATTAAAAATAAGTTTTAAAAAAAAAATTAAAAAATAAAAAATAAAAAATTCACGTGTCCGCCACACGTCACCTCCAAAGAGCCTGTCCGTCCGACTCTAAGAGTTTCATTTACTTTTTGCGTGTTGATCTTTGAATATTATTTATTATATCAAAACATAGTACAAACTAAAAAAAAATTGCAAAAATATTTCTATTAGTATATTATAATACTAATAGAAAAATATTTTGTACAAAAAATTATACAAATATAAGGATATTTTTATTCTTAAGTATAATGATGCAAAAGGTAAATGTGACCCTTAGAGGCGGGCGAAATGAGTATTACTTTTTATATTATCTATACAATTTTTTTATACCTCATATAAAAAATATATTTCAAATCAAAACACTAAACAAACAAACCCGTTATTTTCAATATATATACTATATTATATTTCATCGTCTTACAAAAACTTAACATTTAACGTAAAATATTACTTTTTATATTATTGTTTGTTCACTTATCAATTTTCAATAAAACAAATTCTCATAAATATTATTAAAAAAATTAAAATATATACACACATTAATATAATATATATCATCCACTCATAAAAGTATCAACAATTCAATACAAAATATTATTTTTTATATTATCAACACAGTTTCTTATACCACACACAAAAAATCAACTCATCTAAAAACGTCGAGTAAACAAATTGATTATTTACTCAATTTCTTATATCCCATATAAAAATATATAGTTGAAATCAAAACTAACAAACCCGTTATTTTAACTAGATTTTCATAATAGACATAAAAAAATTTCATTTTAATATCTATTACTCATTTAAAATATTAAATTAGATATTTATATATATATTAAATATTACTTATGTTTAAATTGTTTAAAATGATATTTTTTATATAAAATAGAAACGATGCATATAATATAAAAATAATAAATACATGTAAAATATAATATATTTTTTTTTTGGAAAATATGTTAGTTTGAAAAATAAGAACACACTATAGTCTTTTATTCAAATATTTTATTATTTTAAAATATCTTATTCTTTTTATTGATTTAAAATTATATTGTATTAATTTTCTTTTACAAAATATTTCGTAATTGTGTTTTTATTTTTATGTATGTATTATAATTATTTATAGTTTTTCCATGTCTAATTTTTTTGGGTTTGGGTTCCTTTTATGTGTGGAAGCCCAACAATTCAAGTTAGCCTAAAAAGAATTGAGAGTCCACTTTTGTTAATTGTTGCCCTAGCCGTCATAGTTGGGAGAGGGATCATTTGGGTGCAGAGTTTTGAGAGAGACAATTGTTATCCACGCATGCGAGAGAATCGGCAAGCAAGAGATAATTTCTTCAACTCGGTTCCGATCAACGGTCTCGTCATCTTCGGATGTTTTTTTTGGTATCGTTGATTTCTCCTTATTTGTTTGGATTCGATTTTGAATCTTATTGGTTGGGGATTGGAAGTGGTTGTTAGTAGTTGGGAGATCTCTTGTGATTGGGGTTCGATTCTTGTATTTGGGTGTGGAGTTTGATAGCCTTTTGATTGTGGTTATCTTTGATTGTACGAACTTTTTGAGATAGTGGATTTTGCCTTGGGTCGGGTGATAGGCCTTGTGGTTTTTATCTTTCACTTTGAAGGAGTTTTTCACGTTAAAAATTTTGGTGTCTCATATTGTTATTTCCATTGTTTATTGGTGGTTATCATTCATCTTCTTTTTTGTAGAAAAATAATTGATTGAAGGCAAAGGTTTTGGTGGAACAGTTTGAACACACTACTTAGGCGTGACCACGCTTAAGGAGTACTTCGCATCTGATTTTGGTTTGCATTTTGTTCTTCTTCCAGTATTCTCCTAACATAAAGTGGTATCAAAGAAAAGTTGTTTTGGAGTGTTACTTACTATTGAAAGATGGATGTGAACTTGGGAAGAATGATTTGCTTAGATGGAACAAACTATCATGTTTGGAAAGGTAAGATAACTGATCTTCTATATGTCAAGAAGTTACACGGGCCAGTGTTTTCTGCGGCAAAGCCTGATGTTGAAACTAGTGATGCGAATTGAGAATTGGAGCATCGACAAGTATGTGGTTTCATAAGGCAATGGGTAGAGGACAATGTTTTGAGTCACATTGTGAATAAGACCAATGTCAAAACATTGTAGGACAAGCTAGAAAGCTTATATGCTTCGAAGACTCGCAACAATAAGTTGTTTCTACTCAAGCAGGCTATGCGATTGAGTTATCATGAGAGCAAGTCCATTTCCGATCACATAAATGAGTTTCAAGGATGTTTCGATCAGCTGTCAGGCATGGGAGTGAAGTTTGATGATGAGGTACTTGGTTTCTGGCTACTTAATACTCTTCCAGATTCATAAGAAGGTTTCAGAGTCTCTTTGCCTAATTCTGCGCCCGATGGGATAGTCACTTTGGAGTTTATCAAAAGTGTCATTTTTAATGAAGAGGTGA